GACTTAAAGCACCCTGTTCTGCAGTCTGATGTGAAATGCAACATTCCCATTGGTCACAGTTGTTCAAAATCAGGCCCTAAATATGCTTATTTATGTTTGATTTAAAGTAGGTAAGCTGTCCTCTTGCTATCCCTGTGAAATAGCTTTGCTAGCAATTGTCCAAGCAAGCGGACAGTAGCCTTAGAAAGGCCACAATAAGGGGTCTTCAGTTGAGTGGTGTCATATGGTCTTCATTTAGAAGTATCACAAGAACATTACTTCTCACAGTATTTACAAATGAAAAACATATGGTTGTAACCTGTAATACTTCAAGAAATACTGTTCTTTGGGTTTGTTTTTGGCCTCAGACTTTTGAAATATGAACCAAGCAAAGGGATTTCAGCTTAATGCGTGATTCAGTCCATTCTTCAGAGCTCAAAGTCTGGGGGACAGCTAAAGCTTGAACCTGAAAAAAGTGATTTCCCCACAACTATGGTAATGTATCATAGTTGGAAACTAAAGTAGCATGTATATGAAAAAGGTGTGGGGGGTAGTTAAAGACATCTACTTTCCATTTAATTAAAAAAAAAAAAAAAAAAAAACAACAAACTGGCTTTGGTTCCTATAAAGAGTTTTATAAGTCATATATAAGCCTCTTGCATTTAGTATTTAGGTTCAATCAATATGGTTATCTACCTGTCAATTTTTCTTGCTCTTTAATGCATAAAGAGAGCAGTTTTTTTATAGGTAGCTCAGAAAGTACTAAGCTAATCAATACATGCAGTGATAACAGAATGATTTGAAACACATAACAGAAGCTTATCACTTTGCAATAAACTGAAGCCGTCAAAATATTTTCCTAGAAGTAAAGTGAAAATAAAACTTCTCCATTTTTTACTACTTAAGTGGGTGGTGACATAGATGTTGTAGGCCTTTTGGATTTGTTCCTAGCTTTGTATTTTTGTAAAATTTTGGTACATGAGCATTTGCTACTTTGTAGGAATATGAGGCCAATTTTGCAGCGGGATTTAAAAACTTTGCCTCGAGAATCAAACACCTCAATTGTCCTTGATTTCCTGTCCCTAAACATTTATTGGAAATCCATGCACTGTTCTGGACAACTGTGCATAGGATTTTCCAGGAACTCATCTTCTGATGTTCCCAAAGACCTTAAAACCCTTTACTTTACTCAGTACTCTCAGTAATTTGTGTTCAAACCCCATCTGAAAAGTATGGGCTATCTCTTGCTGAGTTAGTCGATTTGAAATAATTTGTAAGCACTTGATTCCTAGAGGTTTAAATATACATACATGTATCAAGATTCTGGATTTTAATGCAGCAGAGAGAAGATCAGCTGTTATTGTGGTCTCTAACCTCTACTTTTTTAAAGAAATGCATGGGATTTAACTATGCAGTTCTCTTTGAGTGGTAAGTAACAATCATTTGCAATCATACAATTTAAGTAGGTGGAATTCTACATAATACAAAAGCTCTTTGTGATGTCCTACACTTGCCACAATTTACCAAATGTTAAATGCAAGCTCAAAATTAATATGCATATGTATGTAAGTATGTATGTAAGTACAGATGAAAGAGATGAGAGTTAAGACAGGAACAGGAAATAATGTTTACAGCTTGAGGCCCTCTATCAAGGTTTCTATCAGTTTTAGCTCCAAAGCCATTTTTACCAATTCTATGTCATGATACCGGGTGCATTTCTGAACGTCCCCCTGAAGTTACAAAATGGCCTGTTTTGCTCAAGGCACCAAACCATAAAATTTTTTACCTTCACCCTTAGAAAAAAATACTGATAAGTAAAACAAAGGAGAAATGTAAATGAAATCAAAGGGACCACAAAATCATAAAGAAATCCTTACAGAACATAACTAAAAGTCTGCAGAGTTTCTGTTGTACCTACTTTTCTAGCAGAAATGGCCACACATGGTGCAGACAGGTCTGAACTAGCTCTGTGTGGGTGAGTCAAGGTCTGGAAATCACAGAACAGCATCCACTGAGAGACAAAGATTAGTCCATGGGTGCGGAAGTGCCGTAAACACTGTATCCTGGTCCAGTCTGGTAAATCTGTGTGAACTCACCATGAATCTCTACAAGCTCAGAAATCACTAAACCACAATCCATTGCACAGTGGAGACATGCCAGCAGCAAGGCATTAACAATGTTGTCCACTCCAGAGAAGCTGAAAGATGGATGGGCATCTCTGAGGGCAGAATTGGGCCCACTGAATGAGCAAAGATTCTTAGAGCAACACCTCAAGTGACACAAATTATGTTATAAAATTGATCACTTCCTTACACTTGGCAGAAGGCTTCCAGGGCACTAAACATCCTATTCCATTAAGCCATGATAAATGAGACCATACTTCCACATCAGTCTGAACTCATCTTTTAAATCTGCTTGTTCAAATATTTGGTTACTTATTCCCTTCCCGCTCATTAAGATAGCAAAAACTTTTCCAACTTTGCACATTTTAATAGATGCCATTGCTGCAGGACCATCACCTAGGGATTTTATTTCTTCACAGAATTCCTCATCTAAAGAGCATGCAAAATTTGGAGAAAAATTACTGAAAAATGTTTGGTGTGTAATCGCTATGCGAACACTCAGCAACTTGAATAGATAGGCTCAAAGACAGAGGAGAGGCACAGAACAAATTATGGAGAAATTCCCCCCCAAAAAGTAACTCTCCTATTGCTAGTCTGAAGATCACCACTACCACCTGGAATAGTGTTAGGATGAAAACCTGTGGAGGAGAAGCAAAATTGTTTCAAGCAGATCACTACGGCTCGAGGTGGCTAGGGAAGGTTCATAAATTGATAAGCACCACCGAAGGATCATAAGCCTCCACATCAATTGTATAAAGATTACAACAGAGCCACTCACTGCAGTCATTCTGAAAAGGTTATGGGTTTCACAGGTGCGCACTGTCAGTTCTGATTAAGTTTAAACTAAACCAGTTATCTATAATGTTGGATTGGAAAGAGTTTTATTGCTGAACGCAGGGTAAATCAAATTCAGGATACACATCTGTGGAAAAACACAGAGGGCCAAAGTTCACAGTCCTGACACAGGCAAAAAAAAAAAAATCCAACCCTCCAAACTCAGGAGGAGATTTGTCTGTAAAAGATCCATCAGTCTGGCTATTGTCATATGTTCTGTATCAGAAAGCAGAGTTATTCGTCACCTTAACACCGCTTTGGGTTTTCTTTCCCTCTTGAAATTATTGTTCGCTATTATAATGCAGACTGTTTAAAGATTATTATCTGCATTCACTCCTAAAGCGCCTAGAGTTTACCATTTATCTGAACATAAATTAAATTAATTATACACCTATACTTTTCACTACACAGGATATAAACTGAAGCAGCTATAGCAACAAATTCACAATGTAATTTTTTATCTGTGTGACTAGGAATCTTTCCAAAAACAACCGTTCACATCAGAGGTTCTTAGAGCTACGCAGAAAGACTGTGGGTGAAATTCTGTGCCCAAAAAACATTACTAACAATTCAATTGATTTCAACAGTGCCAGGATTTCACTCAAAAATTAAAGAAAGAAAAAATGCATTCTTAATAGTTGATACAAATTGCGAAAGGTACATTCTATTTCCAAAAATACTTTGTATTAATGCTGCACTTTAAAGTGCCTCCATTGACTCATAGAGCTAATAGATGGCAAAAGTGAAAAAAATGTATTTGCTTTTGCAACATCATTATTTCCTTTGCATGCAATTATTTACTTGCCAAACAATGCTAGCGACAAATCGCAATAGACTATGAAGCCATCTACATCAGCAGATTTTTAACCTAAGGTAAAAATAAACAGAAACATCTGTAAAGTAATCTTGTACAAAGCTACGTTTATTAACAAATACATTTTCTAATAAAACACCATCTGCAAGCAACCCTCAGCTTCCACTTGATATAAATAGGCCTTTTACTGTTTTCAGATGCAGTTCCCAGAAAATTATTCCAAGCTCTACTGCAAAACACATCAGTCTTTGTTGCTGCCTGGAATGTTAATAAATAACATCAAGTTTTTAAATAGTCAAACAAATTATTGGCTTGAAACAATTATTCCAATAGAAAAGCTGACCTTTTGCAATAAAGTGGTTTAAGAATGCATTTGCTCCTCATTCCTAGTATAAAAATATTACCAAGCAGGGAAATATTTGGGGGAAACAGAAAGGTATGAAAAAACAATATTGCAATTCTGCTCATACGTACACTATAAACCTACCTTGCAAAGGTTACTGCTTTAGAGAAACTCAAAGTAAGAGAAAAAGTATACAGAGTATAAATAGTTCAATTGGTATCCTTATAATACATCTGTGCTTGGAATGGACATGAATATGAACCAGCTAAAATGTTCCTCACAGGACTGCTGTACTGACCAGCAATACAAAATTAAACAGCTTAAACTGCTGGTAGCAGAGATTGGGACTGAATCCCAATATTAAGAGCTCTTCAGAATGCATAAAAGCTTTAATGGGACACATTTTCATAAGCATTACTCAGAACTTAAGCCACATTAATTTCATTAAAAGCAATAGGAATTTAGCAAACTCTGCAAATAAACTTCTCACTGGTAGAAGCATTTGGTATCACTGAAATTTGAACACTGCCATTATCAAACTAGATCCTAACTCAAAATGCAAGAGTGAAAACTGCAGATGAACTGAGATATTAGAGTTCTCTGTCCAGAATTCTAGCTGGTATAAATATACTATAAATATATTGCACCCAACAGAGATCTAGCCTTTTAATATTAAATCAGAAACAAACAGTGTTAGTATTCCAAACCGTGCCTTAAAAACTTCACTAAATATTGCTACTGGGAGTATAATAACAAACTTTGCCAAAAGTAGTCATGCACATTCTAGAAAAAAATGAATGCTTTAGACTGTAATTCCAGGAAATGGAATTGCATATTTCCAGAGAAAAATATTCAGTGCATGGAATACTCAAGGAGTACTAGAGAAAAGATACTTTAAACTACTTACTTCACTAACAGGAGGAATGTTGAGCTTTGGTACTTTGTTCTTTGAACTAGGTGTGTTCACTTTTCCTTCCAGCAATGTTCCAAAGGACTGATTTCCATATCCATTCTCAATTTCTACTGGAGGTTTCAGTTCAGGTGAGTCATTGGGTACCTGGTCCTGACCGTCCATAGGCCTGACATATGCTGTAGGCTTTTGCTGGACCATGCTGTTTTTACAGTGAAGTCCTGGTGGGAAATTCTGGGTCGAAAGACCATTGTTCGCAGATAACAAAGAAGTGGAAGGAAGTGGAGATCCAGGACCATGACCTACAAACTCAAGTTCTGTGGGTGACTTCGAATGACTGTTTTCTTTGTAAGTATGTTCTCCGGGTGCTGACTTTGAATGAGTATGCCTCCTCGAATGTGAAGATGTTGCCATAGAATTTGCTTCCTCGGTTCCTCCACTTTTATGTTGCTCACTCTGACAATTATAGAGGTCTTCATACCTGCCCTGTGGCTGGTCATGAGAAGAGCTATGCTTCGTCCGACTCTGCTGACTACTGGATTGGCTTGGCTGGGCCCCACTAGAGTTGTGACCACCACGTGACCAGTCTGTCCTCGACTTCCTGCTGCTCTGGTGACTGTGTAGCAAAGTGGAATTCGATGACAATGAAGAAGGTGGAGGCATTGATGTCGATGAGTGGCCACTGATCTGATGAGATGGGATCATCCTGTTTCTTGGTTCTGGGAAAAAGTTCTGTTCATTTTTGTCAATGGGTGTCTGTGGGACAGAATTCTTTGGGATTCCTACAAGGTGGCTCTGGTTGGAATGGTTGGTTAACAGGTCCTTCATCTCATCATAATTTCCCAATGTGTTCTGGACACGGTTTGCAAGGGCATCGCCTTTATTTGTCTAAAACATCAATAAATAAATAAAGGAAAAGACTGAGTAAATTCCTGATTACAAGTTACTGCTCAGAACAGTTGTCTTAGAAGATGGCAAATGTTAGCTGTTTAATGGTGTCATGCTGACATTTAATTTAATTTCAATTACATTTTGCATATGTTATATAAGAAAAACCTATCAATAACTGTGTTCAAAGAATCTCTTGAAACAGGCTTGCATGAGTAACACTTGTATGGTGCTTCCCATTTTCTTAGATATGCTCTCAGAGAAGTGTTTAAAATGCATCAGTTATGGATGTTAGGAGCAAAATAAGCTGGTTTTATGACAGAGATGTCAGGCTTGTACATTTCATATTGTGCAAAACATGAACGTGCAATTACTGGCTACTGAGCATTTGAATTGCAATCATGCAGTTTATTTATGTTATTGCTCTATCAGCCCCTTGATCCATACTTCTTCCATAAATAGAAGCTGGGTAGTCTGTCAAACATATAGCACCAAACTATTCACTCCAGTGTAACTCCAATTACTTTTCCATAGAGGGTTCAGTTTGACCTGAGGTATCTACCATCTGAATTCAGAAAAGCAAAAGCTTCTACCCACTCAAATGCTACAGTAGCTTCAAGTAAAAGATCATTCCAAAATATTTTCTTATAGAACATAGACATGACTGCCACATTAAGTTTTGGGATTCTTCCATTGTCTGCAGGCTGGTTGTATTTGTGAATCGTGCTTTTCTTTGAATGCCAGTAATTATTCAATAAATACTGACTCATCTGTGCCTCACTGCTATGACACTCTTCCTTTTGAAGCATTATGTGGGGTTTTTTTGGTTCTTTTTCCCTTTCACTTGTAAAAAGCTGAACAAATAAGCTGGAAGCTATAATTATTACGCAGTTAATTTCCTCTCTTTTCCTGTTCTTACTCACCCCACAGAGACCCAAAGTACCAGCCTTCTTACTGACCTTATGTCCCACTGAAATTACCAGTAAAGAACTAAAATATTTTATTCCCCATGCTTATTACTTTACAAGACTCAAAGGATAGAAACAAAGTAAAACTATAGTTTCTGCTCAAGCAGATAGTTAAATTCTACAGTCTTGAATTAAATGATGAAGTTGCAGTGTATCTAAGCTACTTCAGGATACAGCCAACTATACTTTTACTTAGGTTTAGGGCTTTTTTTCGCTAAATACAGCAAGTAGTGTCACAGTCCAAAGATGCCTTAACATCAGACCATAAAGATGGAGAAAGGCAGCACTATGAGCTTGTGCTTGGTTAGAGTGCTGCACTTCATTCCTCGACAAGGGATCCTGCCATGCTACTGATCCCATTTGCCTCAAGTATTAAGCAGCAGTTTGAGTGATGAAAAAAATCCATGCATGGATTTCTCCTGAAATATCTACTTATATTACCCACTGCTGAACTAGTCGGGAAATGAGAGGAATACTGCAGAAAGAATTTTTTCTCCCCACTTAGTACTGAACATGCCATAAAAAATGTTGAAAAAGAAGATAATAAATGCAAATTTCCTTTTGCTCATTCTCAGGGATTATAACATATATTATCACTGCACTGAGTCAGTGATTTAAAAATTAACTGTTCAGTGTTGTTCTCATCTATATACATTTTGCCAGTGCTCCTAACTGACACAGTTAATAATCCCAGTTGTGGAGAACCACGAATCACTTTTATTCACTAACTAAGTCCCTAGGTTGGTCATTTTAGTGGCAAAAATTATATTCTAGCTAAGCCAAGAATAAGCTCTTTGTATATGAGCAGTCTCCTTCAACTGAGTTGCACAATGAGCTGTTTGGGCAGCAGCCAAAACCAGGCTCTCTCTGTTCAACCCCCAAATTTAAAACAAGGAGATTCCATTGTGCTTAAGGGCCCAGCAGGAATTATGATTCGAAGTCTAAACACTTACATACTTGTTCTGTTTCCTTCTTCCCCAAACACTTTAACTCCTTACAGGATAGCACACGGGAAACAACCAAGTATTGAAAAAAGCCTGACCACCAGCCTTCACCTCTGGTTCAGCTACACTTCCAGGGTGCATTTAGCTTACTTTCCAGAAAATAAAAGTTGTTTTTTTTTTTTTTTTTTTTTTAAAAAAGTAATGACAGTATATCACCACTGTAACACTTCAATATCACAGCACATTAAATGGCTCTTGTCTAGATCCTCACAGAGGGAATCGATATTTTAATTTGAATGTAGAGCTTTTCAATCATTTCTGTGTTGGAGGTATCAGATTCTCTTATTTTCTCTTACATGTCACATTATGATAAGTATATTTTTGCTTGATACGAACTCTGTTTTATGCAGAATGTTCACATCCTGGGGATAAAAGACACTGTAAAAATGTTAGGTATTATTATTTGTTGTAATTTACTGGAAGAATTAATGAGAAATATATTTCCTGAAAAGCATGGAGATTAAATTAATTTAAACATCCTTAGCATATTTTAAGTGCACTAAAGCTCATATCCAATAGTTATTGAAGTCAGTGGAAGGATTATCACTCTATTCAATGGCCTTTGGACTGCAAAGCAAAAACCATAGTGAATGTGTGTGGTAATTTGGCTTGTGCTTAAATAAAACTACAGCACACACAGCTAAGACCAGACTTGTGCATCGCAACATGAACGAGTTCATATGTGTAGCGCAATGTACCACCTGCATTTAAGACAAAGCATAACATTGTTTTTATTTTATTTCCTCAACAAATTCAGGGCTTTCATGAGAAGCAGAGTGTTCTTGACAAGCCTGGATACCAGCAAGACAAACACAAAATCCAGTATAATTTCTGGTTGCTCTTTGTTACTTCCAGATTGGGGACAATTTCTACCTTCATATTCTGGATAATTGCCTGATTTCTTAAAGGAAACCCCTGTACATCTTATTTTCTGAACAGCACGTTGAATCACAATTTTGCCACTATCAAGGAAATGCAGCATTTTCTGAGTATTCCAAGGCATAAATCATATGTCTCGTTTGTGACTCATGGCTAGTATCCTTCCCCTCATTCTAGGCTCTTGTTAATTTAGGAAATGTACACCTTCCTACATTTGCTTCTATTGCTTTCAAAAAAGATCTGTAATAGAGTCCCATTGGAAGACTAATTTGCTAGCTAGCTATTGCATTATACTTTTACAAAGAAAAGAACTAATGCACTCAAACTTATAGGTCCAATTTACAAGGGTTTTGTGAAAATTTGTATGAAACTTAAGGTTTCATAATTCATTCACTTTCTCATGCCTCATAGTTAAAATAATCTCCATGGATTAGAAGCTGAGATCTTTTTTATGCTAAGCTTGAATAGCATGGAGGGTCTTTACCTGAAAAAGATAAATGATTTAACATTCACCAAAGGCTACCCAGTGGAAATGCTACCCATTGGGTTCTCTTTCTCAAGTTGAACTCTTCTGAGGCAATTCCTTTGAAAAGTAACAAAAATACTCCTACTGTTTTCTCTAAAATAGTCATCTCAAAATCTTTACTAAAACATTAAAAGGTATCAACAATTCAGTAGTAAAATTGCAGCTTCTCTCAGGAAAACTCTGACATTGCTTTTTCAAATGTCTGTTGTCATAACACTGCAGGCTCTTCTCGGATCACTCCTGCAAAATCAAGCATTAGCAGGTTGCACCAGAGTTCGAAGGCAAGACCTGCAACCCACTTGCATTAAAGGGCAACACAGCCCTCGCTGCCTAGCCTTCCCAAATTAATGCTAGATGTCATCACATTGTCAAAGGTGTTGTTTCCCTACATGAGACATCAGAGCTTCAAAAGAACACTTTTATCTCTTAATAAGCATGTACAAATATATTTTAACACACCCACAGAAATAAATATCTCTTTTCATGTATGTGTATACATATATATTCTACAAAGAATCAGTGTAGAAACATGCACTTGTCCAAACCTATAATGATCACCTACATTTTGATGGGGGATAGAAAGAAAGATGCTCTAACAGCTAGAGCAAAATGATGATAGATGGTGGCAAATATTTCACACATTTCATGATGCACAATGGCAGTAAGCTCCATGAGAAAATCTGGGCTCCTTTCACCAAGTTTTAATATCCCCAACTTCAGAATGATCTTAAAATAGCTGCCAGTTTTTTCAGTCTTTAAAATATCAAAACAGCAGTGCTGGTATCCTCCACTCTAACAGTCCCTTCTCTGGGTTACTGTTGAAGGAAATGAAAAAGGAATGATAAACAAGTAAGGACACTAGGTCTGGAAATAGAAAAGACGTTTTCTACTTCCTGAGACCTGATATTCCCAACCTTCTCTTTGTCAGTGTAGTCTCCATTGTACCTTGCACCTCCAGATCTTTCAGAAATGTACCAGCAATCCCTTAAGATGATGCTCATTAGTAGAACTAGACCAGTTGAGGATGTAGACCCTGTACCCATCACAGGCCACAACAGTTGACTTTGCTGGGCAGTGTTTTATCTCGTTCTGCTCCCACTGAGAACAACCAGAAGAGACAAGATGGGGGCAGCTTGTGTGCACCAGGTCTTGAGTCTCCTCCACAAAGAAACATTTGTTCATCTCAAAATGGAAACGGAGTTAGAACTGAACATGCAGCACATTTGTTCTCCCCTCATGGCCTCTTCATTTTATTTTACAATAAACATGAACAACATCCAGAATTTAGTTTCATACTTGCTTAAGACTACAAGTCACTATGCAACCATTAAGAGTTAGATCCAGCTTCTATTAGTTCCTAGGAAACTATACTGTGGCTGGTTCTTACCAATGCAGAATTTACAAAGGAAATACCAGTCAATCACTTTGTCCTCTTTTTTTTTTTTTTTTTTTTTTATACATAGTGTAATAATGTAGGCAAGACCTAGCTTTCCTATTCAGTCTGGGTTCTCTTTGTTTTGCAAATTTAAGACAGATGTAACCATTTTTGCATGCAATTTCCTCTTAATTTTTATCTTTCACGATTTACAATTACAATGCTTTTTTAGGATAGTAATACATGATGCTTTTCTCAATCCTGCAGATCGGAAACTTCTCTGCCAAGCAGGTGAAAAGCAATTAAAAAAAAAAAAAATTGTTCAGGAAAATCACCAGGATACTTTTTTTGCTTTTTAGTTGTCCAGTTTTTGAAAAAAAACCCATGCTCTATGTATGCTTGGTACAAATATATGCACACTAAACAGATATAAAATAATATTTTATATTTTTTATGGTACAATACATATTGGGAGGTGTGTGGAGGGGTATTTTTCATTCCTGACACAGCAGTGATTTGCATATTGGTTTACCTACTGAAATCCAAAGGACCACTTACATGAACAAAAATGTTTCCATGACCCACAGGAAGTCTCAACAAAAACAGTTCATAGTAAGTTATTATTCCCATAAATAAAGGTGCTAAAATACGGTCCAATGCAGAAATAGTACATTCATTAGATTTTCATAAAAACAAAATAGAAAGACCCCACAGACAAACTGTCCTAGTGCATAACCCTTATTTGGTTAAGTCTCTGTCACAGATGAGTGGAATGCACCTCACTCAAAAGAGAAAAGCACCAATATGTTTTACTGAGGTAAAATAATAATTTGACATAGTTCAATAAGTTTGAAGGAATTTAACACTGTTTAACAGTGGTTTTGACAAGGTTCAATAAGTTTGGTGGCAAGGATCACCTTATCAATTATGGCATGGAAGAAACACACAAAAGAAAATAGAAGCAAGTTAGAATGATTCACACAGAGACCAGAGACACAAAAACTAAGAAGGACCCTCCCACTGAGTCATGAGGTTCAGAGCAGACCATCTTGCTTTCTAACCTCTTTCTAAACTCTGCATTCTAGGTGCAGCTGGATCCAATCTTAGTTTCTGATTTGGTCAACGGTTTATGTCTAATGGAATTATCCATAAAATATTCACAATAATATTGAGTAGCTACATGGATTAGTAATGTTTCATAGTGTTAATTCAGCATGCTATCAGTCACTTACCAAGAATCTGTTATGGGCAAGGAATCTCTCCACCTTGGATAAGGATGTCTTAGTCTCAGGTAAGGAATCTTTACCCTTGAGAGGTGTCCCAACTCAAGAGGAGAGTTACCTGGAATGCAGTCCAGCTGCAATTCAGGGAGAGCTCAAATTAAGCCCATCCTGATGGTAATATTTATAGGGTGAAGTAGTTGGCTGCTAGTCAGTAGTACAGACAAGAGAGATGTCTTTGTTTTAGCTCTGATATCTTGTTCTGTACTTCAGTTATCTTGCACTTTTGGGTTTCAAAACCACCTTTCGAAATACTTTTCAAGACACCTTCACTTCTTTGTGCATGAGCCAGGGGCTTTCCAGCTTGAAAGTTCACCCCAAGGATGTGAGGCCTGTTGCTCCTTAGTCAGCCTGAACCAAAATACAGCTAGGTGTCAAGTGTATCTGTCACACTCTCCCATTCTATAATTATTACACACCATTTGATAATAATGCCAGTCTTTCCTCCTCCTTTTCGGGTGCTTTTCAAAGAACCCTCATCCTCCCTACAGCTGCTAACAATGTAAAATAGAAAGATGAAGTGGTGGCCTTTCAATGGATGTCACTGATTGGGAGGAGAAAAGAGATGGAAATTTACATTCTGATGAATTCTTCAGGGAATATCTTACTGAAAATCAAAGCAGCAGAAATCATAAAGGGGGACATCCCTCGGTGATGAAAATCCCAGGCAGCAAAGCTTCTTAGAGAGAATAAGACTTGTCATAAGTCCCTTTCATACCCTTGTTATGCTCCCCAAAGATTCAGACAGTCTCCCAAAAGACTTCTTCAGATGGATTATGATTGCACAAGAAAGCTTATGGACTCATTATCTATGGAGAGGACATTGGTTTTAAAAACTCAGATATATTTTCTTCTTAAAAATAAAAGGACTAAGAACTGCTAGCTTTGTAGGTACAAACCCACTTGTAGACATTATCAGCTGCACATACTTCTATTGCAGGACTTTGTTGTGTGTTTAAAGGAAGAAATCTTGAGCTGGATGGTAACCAAAACTCCTGATTCTGTCAATGACACCATGCAATGCTGGGCAAGGAATTCATTTTGTTCTGCTGCCATATAGCTGATTTGGGTAATCAGTGTATTCAGGAGTATAAGTATCAAGGCAGATGCAATATTTTCATTTCTTACAGGTGGTGAGAAGCTCTATTTGTAAAATCCATTCAGGTACAAGACATTCTGGAAACATAAAGCATAACAGTGTAATTTACCTTGTAGGGTTCCCCAAAGAGGTTGAAACCTGAAGCAAAGAGATCTTCATCTTGTTGGACTTCCTGGTTTCTTCTCTCCCATTCTTTCCGCTTAAGTGCACTCCGGTCTTGCTCATAGTGACTAAAGAACAGAAAGACAAAAAAAGACAACTCATTGTTTTCCCCATAATTTAGTTGCATGTTCATTACTATCAATAAGAGCAGCAAAACATCAGAAACAATCCTGAGGACAATTCTGAAAGAAAGAAGCAGCCACTGAATAATTTTCCCAAATTCAAACTTGGAATCATAAGACTATGTGAAATTGGACAGTAGGACAGTCAGTGTACTTCTAAAATTAAAGCAGATAAAAATGTTCTTTTCAAATTAACAGAGCATTATGCCGAAGAAAAAAAATACATTTTGATGCATTTGTATGAATAGTCTGTAAAACACATGTGCATGTGCACACACACACAAATGCACACACGTGTGCCCACAAAGGTGACTGTGCAGAGAAAGCAAATGTGAAGTCAAGAAAGCACTTCGTCTTCAAATCCATTTATCTGTGTAACACTTGTCTCCATCCCAATGCTCCAGTTCAGCCTCATTTGATTTAGACCACCTAATTCTGTCCCATGTACTTGTTAAAATTTATGTACAGCTTCATTGTGGGTGTCAAGGGGGTTTTAAAAAGTGTCTTTGTAGCAGGCTCCCAGAAGAGACTTTAGGATAGTTGATTCCAGTATCAGATAATTCTACACACAAACAAACAAACAGAAAAGGATCTACCGCCTCAGTGTAGCAATGGCAAGTGGCACTTATCTGTATGTCAGCTTACTTTGTGCACCTGCCAGACCAACGTGACAAGCTGAGAGACCACATTCACTTCTCCCCTGAATAGCACTGAAGTACTTCGGTCTCTTAGCTTTACAAACTACCTCCTGCTCCTCCAAGGGAAAAGATATAATTAAAACCTTGAAGGAGAGGCAAAAATAGGAAAGAGGAAAGGAAAAGATGCATGCTTCAACTTGCATTGACAACCTCTCATGTGACAAGCATTAAGGGACACTTCTGTGCTTTCAACCCATATTTGATTTGTTATGAGGCTTTTGGCTCCTCTTTGTGTCAGTTAATTAGCTACTAAATTCTAGACAACAGTTCGAATAGCAGATTCAGTATATGCACTGATGTTATCTACTGTAAGCAGTATTTCCCTGATAGATTCTGGACATATATGCACACATCCATGCACACCCTCTATGAACAAATGCATACATACAAACATACATATTGCATATGTAACAAAGAACAGTTAATTCTCCTATTTCTGTCAAGAATGAATTAAATCTCCACAGAGTTCCACTGCACTTGGAAGATAACCAAATATCTACAACTTTTGCCTTTTTAGCTCAGCATGATGTTGTATTGAAAGCTTCACACCGAGAGATATAATGAGGAATGAACTGCACAGTGATGAGGCTTTAACAGTGTATAAAGTCACTGATTTCTGAGTGAAACCACAATTACTAATTTGAAGCACCAGCTAATTAAAACCACAGCTATGTATTTAGCCTCTTGTTATACCTACTGCAGTTTATAATTATGAGGACCTCTTTATCTACTCAATTAAAGTTCTTATGATTCAGTGAGGTTGTGTTTGAACCTGCAAGCCCTGCAGAGAGCACAGGAAAGCATATGTCTGTTGCCTGATGACTCCATGTATCCTCACATTCATATACTTGCTTTTGTAAAGGGAAGGAAAGAAAAAAAGAAAGACTAATGCCACAGTGAGATCCCTAAATAAAAAAATGAATTAATAATTGGTTGAAGGAATTCAGGATCACTCAGATTTGGTTTGAATAAGGCTTGAGTATGGCTTGTAAACAGAATTCAAAGCCACCTACATAGGCTGAGCTGAATTATTTCCATCCACATTTTCGTTTTGCAAATTAGAAGGCTGAAAAGATGCCACATTTTATTTATTTATAACACCTCCCAATATAGTGACATCACTGGCACCAACATCAAGCTCCAAAACATTGTTATAATCATCCTTAGTATTTTTTGCATAAGCTATAGTACTATTTGCTGGTTTCCTGAGGTAGGCAGAAGGGAAACTGCAAGCAACAGTCACTTTACTATACTATAGGTGATCATATTGCTGACACAATACTGCAAACCACAAGCAACTTGCTCACTAAAGGGTGAGTGAAGGGGGGCTTGAGTCTCCCCTTCCTTTCATGTTCTAAATCAAGATTAAAATCCACAAGTATGGGAATAAGTGAGTACAAACTGTTTCCCAAACTGGTATACAAAGATGAGGGCAAGGCTGATTCCATCTCAACCCACAATTCTTCTTGAGTCAGGGGCTGTTTTAGGCCAGGAATAATCCAGTCCAGGAGCAGCAGGAAAACACTATATTCAGCCCTCTCATGGCAGATCTTTCCAGGGATTTTTTTAGCAGTTTGACCCAGATTGGGTGACTTGCAGCAAAATCAGATCATTATGAAGTTATAAGCCCAGTCGCAATGCCAGTAGAGTGGATCTAGTGTAAACTGGATTTTATATCCTCCATAAGTAATCTTTTCTTATGGAAGCAGTTCTATCCCAGGCACTGCCAGCATTCACTTCAGAAAGAATTATTCATGAAAGTTAGAGCTGCCTTTTATAGTTTCCCAATGGCAACCTTGGCCTGGAGTTTCAGGGTGAAATCCTGGGCCCGTTCAAATCAAACTGAATGTGGCCACTGAACACCCAGATCACAGATTACAGCAGAGAACGGATCTCACCCTTCACTTGAGATTCCAGCACTTTGTTATCTAAAAGCTGGGTCTGGTCTCAAGCAGGCAAAGTATTCAGGGAACCAACTGAGGCATTATGCCATATCCTTTCTAAGAAAAAGCATTAAATATATCTAAAGCTATTTAGATAGGTTTTGTGACACGTTACAAAACCATAAATTCAAAAATTATTAAAACAGCAGTAATTCAAAATGACATCATCACTTTAAAAGACACTAACTTAAGCTAAGACAGTATTTACAATATTAACAGCAAAAGGTTGAAAAAGCCATATTTTCTAACACAACACATTTAAATATTTCTCTCTTAGCGTGTGTGCTTATGAAAGATATCTACGACATGCACCCAACAGGTGAGCATAAAGGCGCATCTCATACCCTGGACCCCAACGATGTTTACACACTACCAAACTGAGCATCCACTTTACAACACAAGCAAAGCCCTAAGTAAATTGCTACTTTTGCCTCAGTCCAAATCCCTGTATCATATATTGCCCTTATGAGAACAAAAAAAAATAAAAATGAAATGTTCTTTTTGAACTTTCCACTCACACAGTCACATGGCAGCCTTAAGTGCACAAAGTATCTATTCAAAAGGAAGTGGTTGCTCATCCTGCCAAGTCAATTACTTGTTTTTCTGCAAACGTACTTTTGCTAGGGGAATACTTGACAGGGCACTGATTGTGGCTACAGAAAGTCAAATACTATAAGATCATACACAGATTAGGATAACAACTTCTTTGGGTTCCCTGTAATCCAAAGAGGGATGCTGATTAGATCTTAAGGCTGCAGTGCACCAAGAACCTAATCAGATGCTCTCCAGAAACTCTTAATGCGACCACAATGCAAACTCCAGGACTTATGTTTAATAGTTAGCTTAATTAATGTTCTGTGAAATACAGATATATGATTATGGTGAAGGTGTCAGTGAAAACTATAGTCAGATACCATGAGGAACACCAGAGTTCAGACTGTCTCATTAGTATGAGAAATACTTCATGACTCCTCTAGGAAATCACAAATACTGACTTTTGCAAACATTTTAAAAGAAGTGATTTAGAAGAAAACAGCTGCAGGCCACAACGTTCACTGTATCTGAGAGGGCCAGTTCCCTAGACACAGCTATTACATGACAACGTAGTTTAAATACATAAGCTTTATTGTTTTCTTACCACTTATTAGATTAATAATTGAATTTGAATGGGGAAGTCTGTACATAAATCTGAGAAGATCAGGGATGATGAGCAGTAAGTATGCTACAAGAGCACAAGACCACTGATCTACAAATTACCAGCGTGCTGGATATGGCAGAAAGAATAGTAACCATAACTGTATTATCATTTTGGTATGTTTAACATTGAGGCAGGCTGCAAACACATTCTGAGTAACAGTATTTGATACTTAATCCTTAAAAATCAGACCAGCATACATCCATTTGTCATTCTTCTCAGCTATGGATACCCTAAGAAACAGTGTTGAGCTGATGTACTGTGACAGGCCTGGTGCTCAGCCTGTATGAATCTGCAGAGTGTCAGCGAGGTCCATGGATCTGCACCCTTCACACCCACGCTGGCCCACGATGGCTGCGGGGACAATCTGGATCAAGCAGAGAATGGAGAAAGGGAGAAGGTGGCTGAGGCAGGAGGAGATTGTATCAAGGCAAAGGTATGCACATAGGTTTTGGATTAGAAGCTAAAAATTAGGATCTGACAATAAGAGATGAAAGTCTGACATGCACTGTCTACAAAAAGGAGAACTGGAAGAACAGTAAAATTTGGCGCATTGGACAGGACAGTGTAATTATCTGTTGTGAAAGTGAGATAAAGTGGTGCAAAAGATCTAGTGGGAAAAGAAAAAACCTTTTAGGACATACTGCAACAGAGCAAGAGGTTAGAGGGAAGTGTTAAAACAAAGCTGAAGAAATAAGACCTACAGCTAAAGGCTGAGACCTGGCATTTGGGGTTTATTTCAAAGATGTACTAACTAAAACCACAGAAGTAGCCTCCCAAAGCACAGAAGAGCAGGCAAGGCAGAAAAGAGTCTGAAAAGACAGAAGAAAGAGTAGAAGAAAGAAGTCAGACCAGACAAGCCTGAAGAAGTAGTCACTGTGATAGGAAGAAAAAGTAGAAGAGAAAAAAAATGATCAAACACCTAATGTTGCAGAAGAATCTTGGATGAGAATAGGACACTACTCTGTTGATTCCCAATAGGGAAAGAATCAATGAAAAAGCTGGAGCAGAGAGGCTTTATAGTAGTGACACACTACATCCACGAGGATAAATGAACAATGTTCAAGAGAAACAGCATTTATCCACAAGTTAGGGAAGGAGTTGCTGTTC